AGTAAATGGACTGTACTTGTATAGCGCGTTCACCCATTCACACACTGATGGAAGTGGCTACCATGCAAGGTGCTCATCTGAAACAGAAACTAATACATTCACACACAAATTCACAATTTTGGGTTCAGTATAGTACTTGCCCAAGGACTCTTCAACATGCAGACTGGACAAGTCAATGATCGACCCGCAGATCTTCTGTTTAGCAGATGGCCCACTCTTCCTCCTGAGCCACAGCCACCCAGCCAGGTAAAGTTACAAGTTACTAATTTTGCTGTTGACTTTTTAAATGAGTACTAAGTGATGAGTAATTGATTACATTTTTTAAGTAAATTTGTTGAAAACATAATATCTTTACAACATTGTGCTATTAAGTATTTATTAATTGTTGTACACCTGTTGTCCAAAACAGAGTCATAATGAACTAAACTACAGTAAGAGCTATGTAGCTTATTTTTAAAATGTGCTGGTGATGTGAAACACTGCTTCTTTTTTTTTGTCAACCACCATCTCAAATGCCACCTGCTTTGATCTGTTTTGTGTCCATATGTGGAAAAAGGTACATGATATAGTGGAAGCAAATAGCATAGCAAAATAACATTGCTCCATCAGATTGTTAAATTCATTATTTTCTTATTAATTTGTAGGTTGTGTTCACCAAACAGTTGAAGAAACTGCAACACTTGAATCCCAAATTGTCACTACATTGTTGTACTATAACATGAAAGACAATCATGTAGATCAAACTGTGCTGAATTCAGTGAATCAAATCTAGTTAAATTTAGTTGAGCTGACCAGAGTAGAACCACTGAAACGATGACCCCACAGGACAGTCATGAAAAATATGCGTTGTTGCCTTATCTTTAAACAGCATCACCCACAGGCGTAGTCCTGTTCAGAGTTCCTCACTGGTTCAGTGTGGCTTGTTTGCTTTTATGGTTAAGTGAGGAATTTCTTGTGTCACCAGGTGTGAGACCTGCAACAAGCCAGACTTGTGTAAATGTTGTTCACCTCCGGTCTTTTCACAGTCCCCAAAAATGGCTGCTGAGGTTTGTTGAAACACTCAGTTTGTGATAGGAAGCAAACATATCATGTCTGTTAATCCGTTTTTAAATTGTCTGACCAATAGAAACTTATAAGAGACCAATAACTTCAGCAAAAGAAAGTCCCCAAAAAATCAGAATTAAGTCTAATCAACTCACTTTATTTCTAGAAGTCATTCTTCATAGCTATTGTCTACAAAGCAAAGTTGTGCTTATGATTTAGGACAGCAGTATTATTCATTAGAGAACCCCCCCGTTAAAATGAAAATGTCAGTGGCTGCTGGTTGCCCTCCTGTCGTCCCCAGTAAAGGAGCAGACTGGAGGTTGGTCAGACCCCATGGACATGGTAATGTGAGGAATGCGGCCATTTCCTCCATTGCAGGAAAACAAAAGGAGCTGCTGAAGCGCCTAGCTTGTCCCACCTCACATAACAAGGCTGCCGCTCCCAGATCCCAGTCTGTATTGTGTTAACCCAGTCAGCATAGTCCACCCCATTAACAGGTTCAAATGGCTGATTTTAAATGTCACTCTTGTCGGCAAATGTGTTTGGAAAAAAAGTTAAAGTCTGTTTGATAAAGCTGAAATGACAAACATGGTGTATAATATGTCTTCAGTTAAACCTTACATCCCTTGGGAAAGTGTGTACTGTACCAACCTACATGCCTCTAGATTTTGGGAAATATGACTCACTTGCTTGTTCAGAGTTAAATGAAAAGATTGATGCCAATTTCATGTCTGTATACTAAATATGAAGCTGCTGCCAGCTAGCTTACCTTAGCTTGATATCTGAAACAAAGGGAATCAGCTAGCCAATCCAATGGTACAAAATATCGCCACAAAGTGTTTTAATACTTTTGTTTTACTAGGTAACAAACAACTAAGATCATGTTTAAACTGTGAGCTGCACCTCCTGATCGGGGTGCGTGAGAGTTGAAGTTGGGGAGACGTGAGGCAAAGATACTGGCTGAGGTGAAAAGGACAGGGTTATAACAGTTTTCTAAAAACAACTGGAAGTTAGGTATTGTAGTTTGGCCAGCTCACCATCTTGGACAGCAACAACATCAGCAACAGTGGCCGTGACACACAGCTCATGGGGACAAGTAAGGTACTTTAAAATGCATTGCGCCCAAATGCTGTAATCATAATCTTTCTTTGGGTCATATCTCAGACAAATCCAAACACAGAGACATGATACACATAATTTTAGAATCAGTGAGACTTAACAGCCAATAACATTGCTAAAAATCATAGAAATCACTTTTTTTTTTTACTATTCCTTTAGAAGTAGATTTGTTTCTGTTCTTTTCTGTTTGCTAATTTGTGAGATTATATAAGGAAGTGACTCTTGTTGTGTGTGATGTCAGTCTGATTCAGTCTCTTCCAGTCTTAATATCTGTAATTCACCTCTGATTTAAAATGACGTGTTGACAGAACGTAATAGGTTCTCACTAAATGAGATACAGATTGAATTTCCAGGTAATGGAATCACACAGTCATTCATTTAAATATAAACCTGATGTGGTTGACATTGAGTGGAGTCATAAAAAAGAATAATGTCGACTTGTTCAGCAGGTTTAGCACTGATTAATTTTGTCTATCAGTGCAGACTTTGCTGTGTATGTTCAAAAAGACTTCAGAGTTTCAGAAAAAGATTTTCCAAATAACATGACACTTGTATACTGTATCAGAAAATGCAACACTAATGACACCCTGTATATCACTTTGTAGATTTTCTAATCAACCTACCAGTCATCTTACCTCTTGGCAATAACCATACAGATTCTATATATTGATAATAATGCACAGTTTTCCACTGAACAAATGAAATGTCTGTGTCATGTCGCTCTCTGTGTAGCTTCTCACTTTGGCTGGAGATGACACCGCTCAACAGAAATGCTTCGCGAGGTCCACTAAACTGGACTGAATGACACAATGCAGGGCTGATGAATGTGGCCCATTGTTGCTAATATATAGTTTCACATTCTTCACTTATATGACATCTTAAAAAAGAATAGTTCGACACAGATTGATACTGCTGTCTTTTCTGTACACTAAATATGAAGTTTGGCTTCGTTCAGCATACAGACAGGAAGCAGCTAACCAGGCTCTGTCCAAAGGTTGAGACAAGTAACACGTTACATCTTGTTTGTTTGATACGTGCAAAAACGACCGCAACTTCTTGCTAGTTGCCTGGCACTCTTGTGATGAGTCTCCAGGAAGAGACTGGCCAAGGAACAGAATAACCCCCTGTCAAACACAACTTATTTGTATAGATTAAAAAAACATGAGACAGTGTGCATTTGTACTGTATCAAACTTTCAACAATGTGAATGCAAAATGTCAAACCAATCTTTAAGTGAGCTGCAGCACTGTACATTATAGTGCCATTAAAATGGTTCATAGTACAGCAAGGTGTTATAAACCTCTTGCTTATCTTGTTGACCCAGATGAATCATGGAAAAGGCAAAACCTGCTGATTTTTATCAGTTGTTGAGGTAATCAGCATTCTTGAGCGACTGTTGGCCTTCAACTGCCATGCAAATCAGCAGGTGGATGCTTGCCTGTGAGTGTTTTGAGATAAAGTAACCTGAGCGCCTGCACCGCTTTAACAAGAGAACACTTGTTTACACCCCACAACCTCCACCACCACATTAAGATGATCCTTTCTATGCAAAAAAGGCTGCACTCAATGACAATACTATCCAATACTACAACCCAACCCCCACTGCTAGCTGATCCCAGGGTCTCCATCTACATGTGTATGAAGTGTATAGGCTAGTGGTGGAGGGGAGAACAGCAGATGGCAGGGCTGCCCCCGTCATGTCTGCTTTTTGGGGAGAACAATGGATCTCTCAGAGCTCTTATTAAAGGAGGGGAAGGGGATTTTAGTCCACGGACAGCTGGCAGGCAGCATGCTTCACACCCGCCCCTCTCCCTCTGTGTCCACACACAGACACACACTCTGCAATTAACTGGCACGGGCCACGGCTTAAATATTTACCAGGCACATGCAAACATGCTGTTCAAGAAAATAACGATTAATCCGTGTCTCAATTATATGACAGCACTTTTTTCATCACTGTCATTTCTATCATGCAAAGCACATTTAAAATCCACCATGCCCTACTGTTCTGCTTTAATTAACACAAATTATAATGAGGACTCAATATCCCATATTTATGTTTAGGATTATCGATTATCAGTCGATTATTTGATTAGTTGTTCAATCAAGCAAAAATGTCAACCATGCTTTGTTTTCAGCTTTGCTCTTTCACTGTTTACCAAATAACCTTTGGGTTTTGGACTGCTGGTTGGACAAAAGAAAGAGTTCTGGGAATTTAAGATTAGCTTTTTCACAATTTTCTGACATTTTATAGGCTAAAAGATCAAATTTAAAAGATTAATGGTTAAGTGAAACAGCAGTTAGCTGCAGCCTATTATTTTTTACCACTAAATGAGAGCTTGAGACTGTGTGTGTGTTTAGTTAAATATCATCATCATCTTGACTACCCTCCCCCCCAAACACACACAGAACTCCCTATATATCATCATATTTCTGAATATTACATTCCCAGAGTATTTCAACAAATACTTTATGACAGTGAGGTTGTAATGTTTTACTGTATGTTATGTTCTTTTTATCTCCTGCAGTCTCGCAATAGCATTCCTGTGTTGCTCCTAAAACTGTAAGGACTCCTATAACTTCAAGAGCAGCAGGAACTTAACATTCCGCAAACCACGAAACAACAACAACAACAACAACATGCTCGTTTACATGACACAAGCAGCCAGCTGAGGTCTTGCTGCTTGCTCTGAATCCAATTTTTGAGCAGCCCCCCTCTCGCCCCGCCTCACCTCTCTCCCTCTCGTCCTCCTCCTCCCCCGTGCTCTGCTTTTGATCCCACAGGGACTTGGAGCCTTTACATTCCAGTCATTCCAGCCGCAGCGAACAATCAACCCTCAGTTATTTATTCGTGCAGCTCGCAGCTTCGCTCTGCTCAGTCTGCTGCTGGCCGCCGGTGCGCACACACGCGTGGAGGAGCTCAGAGGAAGAAAATCGGTAAACTTGTGTTGAATTGAGCGCAGAAAACTGTGAGACTACGCCACCGTTAACTGTTTCGTGTGTGATGAGACTATAATTTGGTAAGTTTCACGCTTTGTTTTCCCAAAGTGTATCTCGGCAGGGTTGTGTTTGGATGCTTGGTTAACTAGAAATCCCTGTGGCACGGATTTATTTATTTTTTGTTTGCATGGCGCAGTAATAATATTTGATTCATTATGTGAGTTTTCAATGGGAGTTGTCATGTTTTGTTTAAAACTGAGTCCTGGTGGAACTGGTTTATTTATAAATTTTATCTAGTGAACTGTATTTCATGTGTTTACTTTATAAAGTGCCATTAAAAATGGTAAATAGTACAACAAGTACACATATCCAATGAGTGAAATTAAATTAATCTCACAAAGTGCAGTTTTTGCCTTTAAAGCCTCTCATTAGGATTTTATCACATTAATTCCCACAGCGGGCTTTTTTGTAAGTTGAGCATGTTACATGTCTCAGTGTGTTTCCTGTAGGATCATATGTTGGAGCTGTAACTTACATCATTGTAGTTTATGTCAACTTTGGGAAATCTATTCCATTCGTTGAGTTTGTGGGAAGTCTGTGATGTTTATAGCAACTGTTTAGTATTACACTTCTGTCTGACTGGGGAAAGTTATGCTTTAGAGTGCATGGCCAATAAAACTGGATCTGCACTGACATCACTGTCTGGGGTATTTCCAGCAACAGCTCATGCACTTACAACAGAAGTCAGTCAATAGAAGTTTGTAAATTAATTGGGAAGAATTCATTGGCATTTGCTTGTAGCTCACAAGTGAAATAGTACCATTGATCATTGAACGATTGTGAAGATAACAATAGGGTTGAGGAACCTCAAATAGTGAGCTGATGAGATCAAATGTAACGTGTTGTGCAGTGCTAAGTCTGATCAAGAATCTTATTTTTCCTTCAGATTTGTGATTCGTGAAGTGCCCAAACTGTTGGTTTTTTTTGCTCATTTCCCACTGACTGAAATGAAAACTGCTGAAGATTCATCTGGAACGGTCCTACACCGTCTCATCCAAGAGCAGCTCCGCTACGGGAACCTGACGGACACTCGCACACTTCTTGCTATCCAGCAGCAGGCCCTGCGTGGAGGCAGCAGCGGCGGGGGCACAGGCAGTCCTCGCTCCTCTCTGGAGAGCCTGACTCAGGAGGAGTCCCAGTGCATCCAGATGTTAAAACGACAGGACCCTCAAGGCCAGGAGCACCAGGGGGACTGCCTGCACTCAGAGAGCCAGGTGTGCCATCTGTACCAGCTCCATGGAGAGGAGCTACCCACTTATGAGGAGGCCAAGGTTCACTCCCAGTACCTGATCTCTCAGCAGGCGGAGCAGGAAGGGCCCAGCATGGACATAATGGGGGGTCGCAGTGAGGGACAGTGGGATTTGAAGAGGGAGCACGCTCGCTCTCTCAGTGAGAGGCTCATGCAGCTTTCTCTGGAGCGGAACGGACCTAGACACAGTCTGGCTATGAGCTCTTCCCACAGCTATCCACAGCTATATAATAATAATGTTACAAACACTGTGGCACCTGAGAGGCAAGGGGCCCAGCAGTGTGTAGACCAGCGAGGGCCACCCCCGGACTATCCTGTCTTTGCCAGACTTCCTGGATATATGCTCAGCCACTCACAGGAGCATGGACAGTACTACAGAGACCCACCTCCCCCCTTCTACTCACAGCATCACAGGTAATCACAACAGATGAAGGACACAATGGAATTATGATTTAATTTATTTAACTATTCTTTCGCTCAGTATTTCCAGGATGGTGTGGTTTGAGCAGTGTTGTAATGAATTACTCATGTCTCCCCTCAGCAGATATGTGTCTACCCAGTCTCAGATGGCTCACAACAGCATCACCGCAGCCTCCAGCAATAACTCAACTCAGACTGACGTGTTGATGCGGGAGAATGAGCGACTCAGGAAGGAGCTGGAGGTCTACGTCGAGAAGGCCGCCAGGCTGCAGAAGGTGAGAGAAGAAGGTGGTGCGATGAATTTAGCTGTTGGCTCATAGAAGGCATGGAAGTTGTAAAAAAACAGTTATTTCTTGATAGTACATGTCAGGGTCATATGCCGTATGGCAGTAAATGAATATGCACAGGAGAGAGATCCCGGTGATTGGTTTATTAGATTTATTTCATGGTATGTGACTTTTCAAAAATGCGATCTACCAGTTAGGTGTTGAGAGTTTTCTCCTCATTCCAGCCTCTGGAATGCTTCCAACACATCCTAGCCCCTTTGTCTTTCAAACATGCTGGCATATTGCCATGAAAGGAGGTAAATGCCTCGACACCTGGGACCCACAAGTGTTCACTCAGGAATGTTGATTCCCACTTTTCAGTTGCGCATAGTGTTAAAAGGCCATTTGTCTGCAGGCAGTGAAAAACACAAAGGGCAGCTTTTTGTAGAGATGACTAATTAGCCTCTTTGATATTAACAACTGAAACATAAACCACAGTCCAGACAATCAATGGGAATGCCTCTCCCAGAGACTGATCATTGTCTCATATTTTCTTCACAGTTGGAGTTGGAGATTCAAAGGATCTCTGAAGCTTATGAGACTCTGATGAAAGGCTCTGCCAAGCGGGAGACTCTGGAGAAAACAATGAGGAATAAACTAGAGGCAGAGATTAAGAGGATGCATGACTTTAACAGAGACCTGAGAGGTATGTGCCTGTTCATTCTGTTGTGACCAAAACTGTCCAGGTAATGGACAGCTTGCTTTTAAACGTAACCAGTGTGTGTAATCGTCGTGTTTTGTTTGTTATCCTCATTACAGAACGACTTGACACAGCTACCAAACAGCGAGCGGCCAAGGAGGCAGAGTGTACAGACCAGAGGCAGCATGTCTTTGTTAAACTGCTGGAGCAAAGTAAGTTTATGTCTGCATCAGAGAAATATTAGAGAAACTGTCTTCTCATAGCTTGGTTCATGACAGAAAAGAGTGAAATTAATTGTTCTTATGTAATTTATTTATAGCTTTGGCAATATTTTTGCTACACATTCATGTCAATAAAGCTGAATTGAATTGACAAAAGTAGGAAGACATTCAAGATCTGCTTTAAAAAAAAAAAAAAAAAAAAATCAGATTTGACAAATCAGACCGCCCTGTGAATCTCTTAACAATGGCAGAACATAGTTTAGGAGGGATTGGTTTCCTCAGAGAGGTGGCGTGTTTTAAATACTGTGGCCCTGCATGTTGGGACACAGATGGTTCGATCTTTGAGTTACTCTTGGCACTTAGATGCCAGCCATTTTTTGTAGCTGTAGTAAATGTGGCCTGGATTCCAGGAATTTATTTTAGGTATTTCAGGCTGTTCTAGCCCCCTCTGCTCAGTTTTGCGTCTGTGCTGACTTCCCTCCTCAAGGGGAACTAATAAGTCTAGGACTTCAGGGCGTCCAGGCCCAACTCAACATGACCCCTGGCTACTTCACTCTCCTTGTTTGGGCATACCTCATGGTTTAATGTGAATATTTTATTTCCTCCTTTTCTGTTTTGTGCAGGGATATGCTGTAGCATAAACCCAGCAAACCTCAGTTTGCTTGTCTTTTTATTTGCCAATAAGTAATGGCTGGAATGACAATTGCACTTTGCTGGGTATTTTAAACAGCTACATTTGTTTTAAGTCATAAGCATTTGCTTTTCCTGAAAACAGGAGCAAAACCACATTGAAACTGGCATGTGTAGTTTATTTATTTATTGTGTTACAAAGACCACTTGAATTATATTTTGAGCTGCTTGTTTACTTCAAGTCCGTAGAAGCATTCCAGAGCTTTTCCCAGTACAAAGCTATGCCTGTGTGCATAAGTGGATAAGAGAAGAAGTCTGCATTCCCTCCACAGGCATGCACTCCTGTTGTGTAATCAACCCCACTTTTAAAATGGCACAACATTGTCTGTTTTGTCTAAAAGTTTTCATTAAAACATGGACTAGCTTTTTAATTGGTAAATGAGAAATATTCAACAAATTCACTGTACAGCAATCTAGCTGTAACTCTGATTCAATTTTATTTACGTAATATGGTGTCAACTGGTCTGTGGTTGAACCACATGCCTTGATGGCAGTATGTAAATGTTTCTTGGTGGGTCACATTCCATTCAAAACAGAACTACCAGAGCTTACCTAGCCACTGGACTGACTCGATCAAAGGCCAATGAATATTCTTGATATAGAGCATCCCTTCTTTAGCATTAATTTGACTTCTTCTACTAGGCTGCTATATTCCCAGGACAAAATGAGATGATATATTCCCAAGCTCTTATCTTCCAGGATCATGTCACTGTTACTCTTACCGCCATTCACCTCTGTTTTCCCCTTTCTCTATCTTAGATGAAGAGCAGCAGAGGGAGCGAGAACAACTGGAGAGGCAGATACAGCATCTGCGCATCTCCGGGGAGGAGTGCCAGCGGAGGCGGGAACTGCTTGAGCAGGCCCTGGCCTCGGCGCAGGCCCGCAACCGGCAGCTGGAGGAAGAACTGCAGAGGAAAAGAGCTTATGTGGAGAAAGTGGAAAGGCTGCAGAGCGCACTGGCTCAGCTGCAGGCAGCGTGCGAGAAGAGGGAGACGCTCGAGTTGCGCCTGCGCACACGACTGGAGCAGGAACTGAAAAGCCTCAGGGCACAACAGGTGAAGCGTCATTACAGTGACTTGTGTTTTATGTCTGTAATTTATAGGAAGAGTTCAACATTTTGGAAAAAATGCTTGTTTGCTTTCTAGTCGAGAGTTAGACGAGAAGATACCACTCTCAGGTCTGAACGCTAAATGTGAAGCTAGAACCGGGGGTTGATTAGCTTAGCATAAGGGCTGGAAGCAGGGGGAATAATAAGCAGGTCATTAATCTTGTTTGTTTAGTCCATACAAAAACAATTTGAAGTGATGGTAGGCAGAATTTTTTTTTGTTTGTGGGCAGGGCAAGACAGATTTTCCCTACTTTATGCTAAGCTGATTGGCTACTGCTTTGTAGCTAGCATACAGGTATGAGAGAGGTATCAATCTTTTAAACCTGACTCAGGCAAAGAAAGCGACTAAAATGTCAAACTATTAAAGGTGTTTGTTTCCCTGGAAGCCTAATTCTAACAACTGTTGTCTATTATCTCAGTCTCAGCACCAGGCAGCTGACCTCACAGCTCCAGAACTGAGTTCCTCCACGTTGCATCAGCAGCTGAGGGAGAAAGAGGAGCGTATTCTGGCCCTGGAGGCAGACATCACCAAGTGGGAGCAAAAGTACCTGGAGGAGAGCACCATGAGGCAGTTTGCAATGGATGCGGCTGCCACTGCTGCAGCACAGAGGTACGATAATACAGTGAAAAAAAAACTAAGATAAAAACATCTTATTATTCAAGTTTAGGGACGTTTTTTAACAGACCTCTATTTTCTTTGCAGAGATACAACCATCATCAATCATTCACCTCGACATTCACCAAACAGCAGTTTTAATGAAGACCTTCCTTTGTCGAGTCATAGACATCAGGAGATGGAGAACAGGTATGCATCTTTCCGCGCCCTTTTCAGATACTAGTTTATGCCTGCTTCTCGGGGGTTTTCTGATCTAATGGTGTATTCCATGTTATCAGGATCCGTGCACTTCATGCTCAGCTCCTGGAGAAGGACGCTATGATAAAAGTCCTCCATCAGCGCTCCAGATGGGAGCAGGGCAAGCTGGAAAGACAGGGGCTTCGTCTCGCGAGGTCTGTCCCCTCTATCAACACTGTTACCAGCAGCACGGAGAGTAAAGGTGAGCGCAAGATGTTTTCCACCATACTTCAGGCTTCAACATAGAGGAATTTTGAGTCTTTATTGACACATGCTATCAAGCGACAACTGGCAGACTAGTCAGCGTCGCCAGACAGAATGTACACTTTCTATAAAAAAGCAGGGAGTAGGTGACAACCCTTTCGTGTCCCTCAAATAGACAACATGTTTTTAAACCGGAATGCATATCATCTCTCGCTCCAGAATAGCCTGATCCAGAATAGTCATGGGAAGAACTCCGCAGGGCAGATGTTAAGGAGTGTGTAAATGTGGATGAAAGCGGGCAATTAAGCAGCCTCCTCTCTTTGTCTGCGTTTGTAGGAAAGAGCCTCTCAGATGACCAGACAGGTGCTGCTGCGCTGCAACGGCAACCCCGCATGGTGCCCAGGGGCCCGAGCCGAGACTGCAGCACCCAAAGTGACGAGGCCCCGCAGGAGCCTGAGCTCACAGCGGAGCCTAGCAAGCTAAAGACCTCTGAGGCGATCTCAGCAGCTACCACTGGTGAGTTTATTGCATTGTTAAGCACTTGACACTCAATCACCAACACAAAAGCTACGGTCCTTTGATCCTTAACCTAATTGACCACTGTTTAAAGTGTAACCAGATTCTGGATCAGGACAGACTACAGACGTACTGTTGAAACAAGTTAAGACCTTGTTAGTAAAATTAAACAAGGTTGTGGGCTTTGCAAATACCAAGCATTGCAGTTGTATTTACTTTAGCATACCAAAGTTGTTTTTCTAATCTGCTAATTTTATCTTCACTGTAGACACATCAGAGGAGCCAATGGCACCACTCAAGACATTCAAGAGCATCAGCAGCTCAGATGCAGAGGTGGTTGAAATCCTCATTTGAGTGCTCACTACAGCTGACATAAGTGAAAACAGTGACAGCCAACGATGACGACGAGACTTTTGGCCAAGGTGTTAAAAGGCTTTCCTCGATGTCTGGCCACAAGTAAAGAAAGGATGACCGTCTGATGGCAATCTGAATTAACATGCAGAGTCCAGAATATGGCACCATTTGGAAAGGAGAGCTGAGCTTTCCTTCTACTGCACAATTCACAAACTCTCACATTTGTCCCACGAATCAGAATTCTTCATGGTACCTGGATAGTATTCTGCATTATGAGAGGAATTGGGCTCCTGGTTGTGCATATAAATATGTTGCGCATGTTACTTTTTTTGTTATGTATTGTATTTATATTTGTAAATGCTGCTCATATTATGATGTTACTTTTATGTTTGAGAGGGGAGAAGAACAAGGGCTGCTCGTCGTGCTCTGCTCCACTTAAGTTATATACAAACATACTCACTTTTCTCGATTATGTGCATCTATGTTTTGTTTGGTTTATTTTGAATTTCTAGTAGCAAGCCTATTACCATCCTCTGAAAGTAATGGGAATATTTATGAAATGACTCAGTATAAGCATCCTCTATGTTCCCATGCCGTGTTTGAGGATTATTCTGTTTAACAGAACTACTCAAACCTAAATTAACAGTTGCTTCTCACTTTAATATACATTTGGGTCCTTGCTCACAGCTCAGCTGAGGATTTGGAAACTTCCCTTGAATGCGGAGCCCACAGAATGCCTGCTCGTTTCTCTCTTAAAAAAGCCTGCGAAGATTGATTCACTCTTTCACGGGGGCTAATTTTCCAGATCCCAGGTTAATGTTTGGGACCTCAGATGGCGACTGCCCAGCATTTCGCTCCCTTCCACTGTCACGCTGGAGATAATCTTTTCACATTCCCTCGCTGAGGGAATGCTCCCGTTAAAGAAAAAGGCTATCTAAAGTCTGACCCCTCTCCCTTGTTAAAATGACACGCATTCTCCACATGACTCCTTTCTGAGAGCTGGCTATTTCTTCTGAGCCGTGGTAGCTGGTTCTACCACGGGCATTGAAATGGTCAACTAAAATTGGCCTGCATTTGCTACTCTATTTGTTGTCCCCATCACTGTGTTATATTCAGCTGTGTTTTCTCAAGTATCTCACATTTCTGAGTGGACTATATCCTTAATGTGGAATCTTCTATTTATTTCTCCCTGTATAGTGTAGGATCACTGAACACTGCTGAATGTAGACCCCTGTTTTCCAGGAATGTGTTTTGTATTTAACTGGAATGTGCCAGAATTCAGATTAGTTTTACTCTTTTGAGGGGAATACCGCTAAAATTCAACATCAGTGGATTTGAGAAAAGGCTAATGTATGGGTCACAAACTCTAGTTAACTGTCAGGTTCCACCATGACAACATCATCAATAGGCGTATTGTTTGAAGTCCAACAAATGACATGTGAAATCTCCAATTTGACTGGTATTCCCCTTCAAGCTTTTTCATCATGTTTCCCGTCACAATGCGTTTGCTGGTCAATGCAATCTGTCCGTTTGAGGAAATGCCCTTCACTTTGTTTGGAATGTGTTTACATGAATGGCTATTTGAAGTGAGAAAAGTTAATATATTTTGTAGTTGTTTTCATTTTATACTTTGTTTTGTTTTCTGGTGCCAAAGATGTACTCTACTTTTAAGTTATAACCGACAACAAATACAAAAGGTTCTGTTAAGGTGCCTTGCTTCAGCTGGTTGACCCATTTTGATGTTGCTGTGAACTTTGGTAAAGGAAACATTTGTATGTATGCCATAACATTTCACTTTAATAGATTAAAATTCTAATATATGTCTCATAAAAGGCTTCCTGTTTTCATTTGTCACACTGGTTAAATACAGAACATGCATTGGAGTCACAAAATCACAAAAACCATGAATCTCCAAATTGAGTGATTTGAATTAGATTTTTTTCTTTTGCACTAAAGGATTAGCAGTTCCTTTTATAGGTTGAGAAAATCATCCTATTTCTTAAGTTAATGCATCATCACAAAGCTGAAAACAGCTGTTTTTCTGAGCTCATGAGATACATGGTTCTCACAGTACAGCAACACTACAAACGTGATGATTTTATAGACTATGTTGCTTTGCTGTAGATTAAACTACCCAACAGTAACTCAAGTCGTTAAAATTAGCCCAACTTCAAACAACTACAAGTAAACAACCAAGAGACTTAATATCGGGAGAAAATTCATAATCTTGTAGAGTAGTGCTCAGAGAACAACCTATAGCTCAACGACAGCAAAACCAAGGAGGTGATCGTTGATTTTAGGAAGAAAGAGATGAAGACACACACTCCTGTCTATATCTGCAGTGCTGAGGTGGAGCAGGTGAACAGTTTCAGGTTCCTGGGAATCAGCATCTCAGAGAACCTGACATGGTCGTCTCACATCTCCATGCTGATGAAGAAAGTTCAGAAACGACTGTATTTCTTGAGGCCAAGTTCTTGTCAGCTTTTACAGAGGAGCAATAGAATGCATCCTGACTGGAAACATCATAGACTGGCATGGGATGTGCACGGCTCATATACTATAATAGCAGAACACATGAGTACTTTGACTTTTACCTTAAATACATTTTGCTGCTTATACTACTTACTTGTAGTGGAGTATTTTGAGGTCTGGTTTTGCTACATTTACTTCTGCAAAGGATCTGAATACTTCTTCCAACTCTGCAAAAACCTTACTGCACATCTGACATGTCAGTGAAGGCTGGCAGACAGATGTTGTAATTTTTAAAGACCCCCACTCATTACCTTCAGTGTTCAGCTATTGTACCTCTAGTGACATGCTCAACAACAACCTCTCACTATTGCGTGTTCCTCAAAGGATTACAAAATGTTTGCTATTTTACAGCTAACATTTTAGGGATCTGTTGGAATATCAACGACAATATCCGTTACTTCAGGTACTTCAGGTTGATCTAAAAACTATTTTGTTGGTTGAATAAAGTCACACAGGGTAAAGAAACACACAGCTGTCTAAAGTTTGCTAACATTAGCCACTATAAGCTACTGGTCATACCAGACCAAGTAAGGCTGTACCACCAAAGCCCCTGAGAGAATTGAATTAGGGTTGTGTTTAAGGGTGTGCTTGATTGCTTAGGAATTCAGCTTTTCTTTTTTAAGAGAGGTGTGTGGTATTTCTATTTAAGTCCATCCATCTTCAGAGTATCAAAATCTCACTCATTGTAGGCTTGAGAGGTGCTATGAATTTCTGTCCTTGCTGGAGAATATGCAGGCTGTGGTCAGCTTGAATTCATACTAGTCATGATGGATTCCAATGGTGACCAGTTTTTACAAGGGACAAAATGTATCAAAGTTTCCACATACAGTCCTTAAACCACTCCTGACAGCAATGCATTTCACTGCCTCGCATGTATGCTCAGTGTGTTCCAAACAGTTGGATATGGCTAAATATACTGCGTGCATCTGGAGAGTGGTATTGTCCTTTTAGTTCACTCTCACTAGTTTCATCAACCTCATTTCCATTCCAACAGGCAGCCGTTTGTAGCGAAAAAAGCTGTAAACCCCGCCCGGCACCAAAAAAGTTAGCAATTAACAGAGGAACATCAAACATAGCTAAAGAGGGAGATACTTTACTCAGGAATTAGTGGATACCAAAACACTGCTAAAAGGAGGGTGAATATATTTGCAACAAATAAATGCTAACAACTTTAAGGTGATGGTATGTCTTTTTTTTACTGCTTGTTATGCTGCCCCCAACTGGGGGGGGGGGGGGGGGGGATCTATTAGCACTTCTTTAGATCACCTTTGTGAAGGGCCACATCCCTTGGAGTTTGGCAGTTTTGTGTAAATTGCATTCAAACAAAGCTAGAGTGAAAATGAATGAGAAGTGCCCATAGCATTCCTCAGGATAATGAAACAATTCATGACTGATAACTGAAAGTAAGTTGATAGTATGAAACTCAGGTTTGTGGGGAACCTGTTATCTTTATCTACATCTTTAAAGCCTCTTGCAAGTGGAGAACTTTAAGGTTTTATATTGGTGAGACATAACCTTGGCACCATTTCTGATAACATTTCACATTACCACATTTGAGGAATCATAAATTGCAACTACAGTATTTCTTCAGGGGGATGGACTCTGACAGACAAATGTCAGCAGCATTGTGCTGTAAGCTATACTTGTGTGTTCTGTACATTCATATCCTAAGGAATATGAAGAAATAGGCCTAAGCATAATCCTAGGTTTGAGTTAAACACTATTAACCAACTTCTGAATCCTGCCCATTCTGGTTTTCCTGCCAGCTCCTCTGATGACTGTGATACGTTTCTACATTTCCTTGTTGGCAAGATCACTGGTCTCAGATCACATTTCAACCATGACATTTATCATTCCGATCATGTCACCTGCCCTGTTCTGCTATCTGAGTTCAGCCTATTTCCATTTAAGAGCTCTCAGATATAGTTTCTCATATGCATTAATCATCCTGCCCTACTGATATAATTCCTACTAAATTTCTGACAGAGTTCCTGCCTGTCATTGTCCCCGTCTTCTCTCTATTGACAAATAGTCTCTCTCCTCTGGATGTCTACCGGACTACGACTAAGCCTATATATATATATATGACAGCCATTGTCTGCCCTTCCTTACAAAACCCTCCCTAGAGACCACTATAGCCACTGTACCACTGTAGCTGACTGCAGGTCCATTTCCAAATTTCCTTTCAGTTCTAAAGTTCCAAAACAGATTGTGGCTCACCAGCTTCTCCAACTGGTTGAGAGACATAATATCTTTGATAAATGTCAATTGGGCTTCCGTCAAAAACACAGTGAAACAGCACTGCTCTAGTAACAAATTATATTCTCATGCATGCAGATTAAGGGGAATATTCTATATTAGTTCCCAGTCTCATAGTCGAATCTTTGCAGAGGCGTTAAGAAACAAGGATCATACCATTTTGGCTATATGGGGCTGTTCAATGTCTGATTTTACATAGAACTAACATTTTTTTTCTCCCAATAAATTAATATACAGCCTATTTGATATAAATATATATGATATAAATGTCAACATATAATGTTGTAAATAAACATGTTATTAGAAAGAAGCTTTTGCGTGAATTAATTCAACTTTGCGGGACGTTTGAGTCATTTATCAGCATTGATGAACCACACAAGGAATATCATATTTTTTTTAAACAATAATGGGAATAGACCAGCTAGGAACTACGACACTGTCGGTGAGTCGGTGGGCACAACTCTGCACAAGAGCAGTGAATGGCAGACGAGCAGAGCAGAGAGAAAATGTTCAACAATAAGACCGATGTGTACGTTACAGTGAATAATGAATAGGGACAACAGCTCTGCAGCTTCAGTGGACTATAGGCAATCCTCGAAAATTCTGATTCAACTATGTAAATCCATAGTCATTCACATTAATAATTACATGTCTTCTTTTGCTCCTCTCTTATGTGGAGTCCCACAAGGGTCAATCATTGGACCTATTCTGTTTTCACTGTATATGCTACCTCTGGGTGTCAGCTGCTTAACTTCTCCAGTAGTGTTTCTTACCATTGCTGATGACACACACCTTTACATCTCAGTTAAACTTGAAAACCTCAATGACCTTACCACCCTTCATGACTGCCTAGCCTATATTTCCAACTGGATGTCTCAAAGTAGGAGGTCAGTCTTAACTATATTGCCCCCCTTGCTAGCAACATCAAGACCACCTCAAAAAATCTTGGTATTCTTTTTGACCAACATGAACTTTGAACCCCACAACACTGAACTTTATTCAATCTTGTTTGTTTCAGTTGCAAAAATCAAACCTATATTATAAGCTTAAAAAATTGAACTTCTAGTAGATACCCTAAGCCTACTGTAACTCCCTCTTTACTTGCATTACTCAGTCCTCTCTAGCCCATCTTCAATTAGTGCAAAATGCAGCCTTCATTGGCTATCAGTAAAACACAGAATCAATTTCCTACAAATGACCGACAAGGCCTAGGATGCCCCCCAATATATTTAGCAGAGTTGTTGATCCCCTATTCAAGCTCTTGGTCGCTCCAATCATCTGATCAAGTCCTTTAATCTGTTCCCCATACCTGTTTTAAATCCAGAGGTGACCGTGCTTATTCAGTTGTAGCTCCTAAACTGTGGAATAGCCTTCCCAAGCCTCTCATCAGATCTGCTGAGACTGTGGGTTGCTTTATGCGGCTGATGAAAACTCATCTCTACAGGTTAGCCTTTTTATAAACACTCTCTGTTTGCCTTTAGTATTGTTACAATAGTAGTACTTAGTAGTAATAGTAATACTTTGTAGTTTTGTTACAATATAACAGGTTATAGAGTGAAATTGAGTTTATAACAACAGTAACAACTATATGCCTTAATGCATAAAAATAGTTAACAGAACTAAACTATATTCGGTGGAGCAGTGCTGAGGATGAATTTGAGTATGGTTGTATGTATGTGTATTCTATCCTATGTGTGAAGAACTTTGTAACTGTGTGTTTTAAAAGTATTATCTCGATACAAGTATATTGAATTCTATGTTACTGATTGTATTGCTTTTAAGGAAGGCTATTTTCTCAGTGTATGACCTCTCTAGTAGATTTCCAAGAAGTCCATGTACTTTACATGCAAAAGTTTCTCTGTAAACTTTGACTTTCAATGTAAATATTTTGCCTTCCTTGTTCCCCCTGGTGGGCTTGGGATGGCATTCCATAGATGCCGCACATTTTCCTCCTGCTGCCTTTACTTGTTGTAGCCGAGTGCCACTTTTCTCAGCTCAGAAAGTCTTCAATAATAAATCTATCTCCATCTGCTGAACACCTTTTTTAGGTGGTGCACATGTAGGACTCTCTGATTTACCATTATTTTGGTCCCATTTGTGCTCAGACAGGTTTTTCAGATATTTCATCCTGCCTCTAACATCCGTACATAAAAGACAAGAGCCCCCCACCAAACTGTGAGTGTTAGGGGCTTCTGTTAAAAGGTTATGATTACATAACTCCAGGCAGTGCCAAGTTTGAACAGCTTCACACAAGGAGACTCATTCCTGGGGACGCTCAAGTGTCATAAACTCATCGTCATTCAGCCGGGATGAAAAACAAAATCAATCTTAAATACGTGTATGCATTCCAATCCACACACATCTGGAGTACTGCAGAAATTACTGTTATTGTTGTCAGGTCTGTTGCATTTATCCCCATGATTTCACCACTTTGACTCCCAGGAACCCTGAATGGTTCTCAACTAACCACAGCAATAATGGATCAAGAACAGATGTACAACAAAGTAAGCTTGTTCCAAGATAATGATGACCTTTGGTGTTTGTTTAACATGCTCAAAAAACTGTAGAGTCATGTGAAATAATGTGCATTCTTCATATGCTGTATGTACACGTGTGCCTGCTTAGATTTACTTTGCCTCTACAGTTACTGCACTTTTAAAGTCATGCACTATTTGTATCATAATGTGAGTAAATCAAGGCATCTGGCAGCCACAGAGGGGACATTTGGTAACAAATCAAGTGTCTTCTTTTGGAGGCTTTTGAACACATTTTGCAATAAGAGCCTGTGCAAAATACTTGGAAAAATAACAGTGGAGCTCTGTGTTTTGCCTTAATTTCCATGGAGATTCCAAAACTTCCTGCCTTCAGCAGTCATGGAATGTGCCCCCACCCCCTTAACTTTTCCACATAAATCAGGGCACCGTTCTCTAATTTTAGGGCTGTTACTGAGATGAAGCAAACCTCTGAGATATCAGGCCACTTGCAGCAATTTTTTAGGTGTGTCAATTGCAACATTGTGTGGCTGGTAAGCTGAAGGTATGAAGGTGTTTAGCTTTAGATGTTGACTGTGGCCAAGCAGCAGCAAGAGCACCACACCTGCTCTGCTCCTCCGCTGCCCACTGATCTCCCATCCACTTCTCCTTAAATCACTTCATGCTGCTCCTTTGCCACTATTGACATGTGTCCAGTGAAAGACAGAGCATGTTAAAAATATTTTCTTTTAGAATAATAATTTGTATAGTATAGTATTTAGACTTGATAAGTAAAGCTGCAAAGTGTAATGAGAGAGGGGTCATTCCTAGTGTTGAACCCACAGGAAATTTCATCCGATTCTGCAGTTCCCTTAACCTCTACGGAGTGATTTAGCTTCTTTCAGCTTATTGTTTTGGTTTTATGACCTTTACTGTTTTGGTTCATTGTCATCAACCTCCTTTCCAACAGCAGCAGGGAGCTGTTTTTAATGAAACAATTGACAATGTACTGCGAAAAGTACTGTGTCAAAGCTAGCAACTAGCTGGTGAACATAGCAGAGCATTTAGCAGCTAAAGAGAGAGATATTTTCAGGAGTTGATGGAGACAAGAACTAAAAAGAGAGTGATTTTTGGCCATAAATTCATCAGGTGGAACTATCAGGCAGAGTTGTAGATTTGCAACTTGGACTCAAGGTGTAAGTCTCGAAATAGACTTGAGTTTTGACTTGATTTACTTCAGACTTGACTCCCGAAAGACTTGACTTGAGACTTATACAATAAAGTCTCAGGTTTTGATGAGGTTAAATGCCAGAACAATTAAAAAATATATCAGACAGGGCTAGGCTGGCTTCACATGCCTTTAACTTCAATATTTAATTATCATTTACTGTAAGCACTGAATTGACTTGGCATCTGCTATGTAAAAAAACAATATTTACACAGTTTTCAAAGGAAAATGTTGCTGTAAAAAGCCATGTCCTTTTGATGAGGACTTCAAGGACTTGAAACTTGACTTGAGATGTAACTATGACAGACATTTGACTTGCACTTGTCTCGAATGACTTGAAACTTGACTTGGACTTGCCCCAAAACTCTTAAATACAGCCCTGATAGTAGTTACTAGATAGTAGCACTTATTTGTTTCACATGTAGACTATGTAACCCGTAACCCTGTCCTTAGACTAGCTCCTAGCCCCCATGCCCAAAAATACTTGTTCTTCATGAAACACGCACTGTGAACACAATGTGAACATTGTGCCTCGAACCATGGCCGTTTAGCTGGTTCCAGTCTCGGACTGCCAGTGGTTTCCAGTGAATCAAGTGAGCTGCACAATCCAGAAAGACTGATTCACCATAAGAAAGAAATGGATGCATGAGTCAAAATGTTCTGTGTCTGAAGCAACCCAGAGAGAAATGCTGCAGTGGCACGAAGACAATGGCACCTGAGTCAGTAGTAAAGATCAGACACTGCATTGCCAGGCACAAGCGAGTTACCTATGAAAAGTTGGTTTCTTTCAGTCTACAATGTCAATGAGTAATTAACAATGTAGAAGAATGAGTAAGTGACAAATTAGTATGTGAAATGGCAGAGAGAGGTTAAATAATTCATACTGAAAACATGAGTTATTGGATAGATAGGTCAGCTGTGAAAGCCATAGGCTGTATGTTTTATACATACTAATATGCAGATGTCACACTAGTTTAGTCTCAGTTTGCCTGACTCTGTGCAACTCATACCCTCTTTTGTAAGGGAGCCATCTCGCTCTGACATCTCTCCATATGTCCATATGTGCATGTGTGTGTATTTCAGACATGTGTGCATACAATACTAATTAATTAATAACAGAGTGAAAAAGCATTGAATTTCCCCTTGTGGGATTAATAAAGTATGTCTTCTTAGTATTATTTACAGTTCCCTATATCTGCTTATTTCTTCTCTGTGAAAATAAATTCCTCTAAAAATTCCTTTCCACAACAACCCACACCATTTTCGTAACTAGTCAGCAATAGTATCCAAAGAATGCTTGTCATGAGGGTTTTACAAATTCTCAGTTAAAGCAACATACCAACAGGTGTATGTGAGGGAGTGAGCGAGCACAGCTGGGGAATTTTGTGGTCATGCCTCAGCATACAGGAATGTTTTATACAACACTTTATGGGCCCAGGTGTAAATGATGAGATACTTGACTCTTGGGATTGTGGAGTGAATAGTGCGCACTCGGGTGCTCAAAGGTCTGTGATTTTAAGATAATCATGAATCACTGTCACAGATTTTGAGAGGGGCCGAGCAGTCTATTTTTTAATTTTCTTCTTAATGAATATACAAAGCACAGTGGTGCAGAACCAAAATAAAGGTTATGTTTTCTAGACCTAAAGTGAACGTAGCTGAGGCCTGTAGATGTGAAGACAGTCAAATATACAGTAATTTTCATAATTAAAGCAACCCCCCGAAAAACAGGGAATCCCCCGACAGGGAATCTAATAAAGCACAGGGTCATGCTGACAGTCATACACTGTTTGACCACTGATGACTCTTGACACCGTCTCACCAAGACATGTAGCAGAAATTCCTTTAGATTTACACAAGTAATGCAAACCCACTGTTACTGATAGTGTGACAATGTAGTTTCTGAAAGTGAACTCTGAACTGCAAAATGTTCCCAGAAAGTGACAACGGACTTTCTGAAAAGCCCACTGTTACAATTAAGGATGGCTCTGTTCTATTCAAGTGCAGTAAACCAGCATGCACAATTCCAGGACCCTGCAACTGAAGCAGCTAGATGGAATTTAGCCATCATTAATTTCATTATTTAGGTTCATATTTTCCTTCTGTCACTTGTCGAACTGTCTTCTGTGAAAAAAATGCCCATGAACGAATTATTTTCTGCTCAGCGCAAAAAGTTTCCTTCACACACACATTTAACATGTATGCAAAAATTCATAGAACCATACAATGGGGACGTTTCTGTAGTTGGCTACTGCCCTCCAGTGTTTCAATGAAAGTATTGCGGTAGCACCTACCAGCGCAGTAGGAGGGCTCAATTGGTTCACTCGTAGGAGCCAAGCAGCCAGCACCAATCAGTTTCTTCTCTCTGAGCGGGAGACTCTGGAGGGACGGCTACAGACAGTCACGTGACAGACGGAGATAGCCGAAGGCAGCAGCTAGCTGCTCTGCACCATAGATTTTACTCTTTACTGTTTGGAACATGAATAATCAATGTCAAATACACAGCCAATGGCAGTAGTGGAAAGTACATTAATAAACAACCTATGTATAGCCATATAGCCAAATTAAAAACCAACTTTGAGTTATAGTTCATTGTCAAAACTGTACTTATTTACTGCAAACATAACATAATACATACGATAGTAAAGACTGAAATCCCAACATGTACATCTACTGTACATCCACCAGCTCCACCATTTAAAATGCTCCTCATATGTTGTGCATCAATATTGATAATGTCATATAATGTTACAAATAATGTAAAATATTATAACACTCCGAAGAGATGTTTCTCCAGTGGTAGCCAATTATCATATTATGGACAGCTGCCAGTGCTACTACTAGCAGATTAGCATGAGTGCTAACTCGGCTGCCTCCGTATGTGACTCTTGCTGCAGGTCGTACCAGTCCTCGACCGCCCCCCTCTTTCTTTCCTGGTGCAGGTTGGTCAGAATATCTCCGGAGCTTTGATTGGCCAGCGACCTGGGAGTCTCTTCTCTGATTGGTGGAATGAAACAGGGAGGTCCGGTCCTTGCTCAGCGTTCTTCCGGCTTACATGTTGGAAAAAAGAAAAGACGAATGGAAAAAATTGTAATCCACGAAACGACCATTGCTTAGTAACTCCGCGGTACGGTAACAACTGCACACATGTTGAAACGTGTTTGTTTATTTAGCCCTACGAAGTTTAAGACGTTGTACACTGTAGAGAGTTCAGGATTTTGCATGAAAAGCAAGCGGCACCAGGGTTAGCGATTCTAACGTTAGCCCGCTGCTAGCTAATATAGCTGGCTAACAAGGTAGTTTTTTAGTTTTAAGGTTACCGAACCAAAACCAGTGACCACATTGAGCATTATCTGATTGAGCAGATATCTCGATTGGTCATTTTGATGTAGGCAGTCGAAAAGTCGTTTTTGTACCTGCACACATTTGATATTTGATAAGCAACGATACAGCTGTTGTCGGGCAGTTTTGTCATATGTTATTGCCCATGTAACGGTAAACAAAGGTCCACAAAGAGGTTATTGTCTTGTTTTTCAAAGTAAAATGTATTTACGACGGTGTCCATTTTTATCAACACCAGTTGCTGAAGGTTAATGTTATCGACTTGCTACTTTGCTTGTTGGTAACCACAATATTCCGCAGCGCTTAGCCTGTTTTCGTCCCCGCACCGCCTGTTAAGGGTTAAACTGGTAGGCTTTTATTCTTGTAGCCGTCGTACGTGTTATACCGAATGCATTTATTCACTAACTTTCAACCTTAATGATGTATTCAATATGTATTATACTCTAATTGACCATCTTGTACAATCTTGCCACTATTTTAGGTCATAAAGAGTTAAAATGAGCTCCCAGCAATTCCCCCGACACGGGCTGCCTGCTTCCAGCGGGGGAGCTCCTCAGATCCCTGCTGCTGGAAACCTAGTGTCTGTCAATCAGCCGTCAAATACAGCAGGTAACTTATTGTCACTGAAATGACTTGCAATATATACTACATATATGGTGAGGAAGGCACATGTAAGTAAATGGTTCATCAAATTATTTTTCCTTAAGGGGGTGGAGAAGCGGACAGCAGCCGGGATGCTGATCATGGGCAGCACGATCATCCACCTGCTGGGGGCGGGGGAACCTTGGCCTTCAGAGATGAAAAGCAGGAGACTATGGTGGTCAGACCTTACCCACAAGTTCAGACGCATGGCCAGCCACAAGCTACTCCCCAAACCATGGCCATCCAGCCTGGCACACCTGTGACTGTACCTGCCCCCTCAGTCCACCTCCCACAGGGCCAGCCTCCAATCCTCACAGAGGGACAGATGAAGGTGATGATTACGTCTGTAACTTTTAAATCTTGCAGAAGCTTTTGTAAACTTATTGATAGTAAAATATACAGTGTCTTTACCATCTTAAGTGTGAAGTGAACACAGTTTAATCATACATAATTTGGCAAAGATATAATGCGTTCTGTGATTAGACAACAATAAACTGTCAATCCCTAAGGTTGATTTATTAACTCAAAGTCCATGTAAGATAACCTTATTGGAGTTGGAAGATTGGTTGGACCGATTGTCAGGAGGAGTCGGGGCTAATGAGGGACCAACATTCTGTACTGGTGATCTTGAATTTTGAAAGGATTCAGCAAGTAACAACAGTCAGAGTTGGACAGGTTTCATTTGCTTAATATCACAACGCTTGGTCTGTTTGGGCTTGTTTCGTGTCAGCTGGTCTGACAATGACATTTGAGATCAAACTTGGCAGCAGCCAATGGCAGATTAGCTCAAGAGGAACGACAATGTAATGAACAGGAAAAGTAAAACTTCCAGTTCTGTTTTCAGTCTAACTTGGTAGAGATTGTCCATCTTCATGTAGTTCTTGTTATGTAATTTCTTTTGGAGGGATGAAACCTGTGACTGAAGATATTTCTCTTACAATATAACTTCCGAATGACCTGCTTTGTTATATATTTTTAAACATGCAGGTTACTTAATTCAACTGGACTGGAGCGTTTCTAGTAGACATGTTAAGAGCCTAAGTTTCTAATTTTTATATTTAGATAATTTTTTTGTTTGAATAGACCTTCTGCTCAATTAGTAATGCATCTGGAACAAAGACGTGCTTGATCTTGAAGTGGCAACTTCATTAAGAGAGAGGCCATGTGGAAACAGTCTAACTTTTTTTTATTTTTTTTTTTTATTCAACAGTATTGTACTGCAACATGTGGTTGAATGTGTGCATGGATTGTGTAGTTAAAGTATACTGTTGGGAGGTGGATGTGCACAGTTTCATATTGCAATTTGTTGGATTTAGTAAACAACTTTTTTTTATAGCACTGCTCCTAACACCTATCATGCCTTTCTTTAGGCTGTCCTGAAGTCACCTATGCCAAGTCGTCTTATTGCCCCAGCACCAGCTTCCAACCAGGGTCATATCCCTATACCTCCCAAGGTGCCTGGTCACATTACTGTCACCATAGAGAGCAGTATTGCCCCAACCCCATCTATTCCTGTGGCAACTATCAGTGGTCAGCAGGTGAGTGAACTGTGTGTTAACTGTTACTCTATGTTATTGTTCCATTCTTGCTGATGACTCAAGTTGCTGGCTGCTTTCATTGTGTTTCAGGGTCACTCCAGCAACTTACACCACCTGATGCCAGCTAACATTCAGATCATCAGGGGCAGTGCCCCTGCACTGCAGATTGGAACCCCTGCGGTCCCTCCCCAGACCTTTACATCCCATTTACCCCGAGGTATGTTGACGAACAGGATCCCAGTCTGAAGTTTGCTTGTCCTTGAAACAGTAATCCATTTACCACTCATTTGTAGCAGTGCATTTGTCTAGATCAGTCCTATTTGTTCCCTGTAGGGGCTGCTGCAGCAGCTGTTATGTCCAGCTCCAAAACTGTCCTGCGGCCAGCCACTGGAGCAAGCGCGGGTCCCGGCCAGCCCACAGTGCAGCACATAATCCACCAGACTATTCAGGTGCTCAGGTGTACTTTCATCTGTGTTGATATTGTGTTGGACATTTAAAAACATTGTGTGTAACGGTGCCATAACTCTCTGTCCACAGTCCCGCCCTGCTGTAACAACGTCTACAGCCGTGCTTCCAACTGTGGTGGCCCCCATTTCTGCAACGAGAACTCAGTCCCCAGTTATCAGTCCAACAGTAACACACTCTGCAGAGGTGGCACATGGGTACGTAGCAGTCTAAGAATTTATTGACTTATTATCATTATTATCACCCATTCATGACTGGACCAAAATAATCACGTGACAAACGCTGTTGGAGGACAGTAAAAATGGTCTGAGGCGTAATATTTACTAAAAACAGGCCTTGCACTGACTCAAAGTCATTTTGACATATACTTTACTTGGGCGGACATGGTTGAAATTTTACATTACAGAGCGACAGTGAACGCACCACTGCAGATGTCACTCACTAACATTAGTTTCGGTTTCAACCCACATGCTGAGTCACGGAAGAGTTTATTAAACACGCCGACTTAATGAAATGTACTGCTGATGGAGAAAGTCAGCCATACAGGGAGAGAGAGACAGAAAGAGGCGGAGCAAGCCGGCGGGTCTCATTTATAAACGATGCATACTTACAAAACAGGGCTTGAGACGTGCGTATGCCATTTCTAAAGCAAAGGTTGTGATCTATAAAAAAACAAACTTGATGAGAAAATGTGCAGCCCTGTAAGTAAACATTGAGCCATGCGTACGCGCATAAAGAGGAGTAAAGAGAAACAGCGACTCATGGCAGAAGGATGAAACGGTTTTAAATGAATAGGCCTACTATTGTGTCAAAGAGTATTATAGGCTTAATGCCTTTCTGAAAAAACAAACACCAGTTTGACTTTCCCTGAAGTGCGCAAAAAAACACACAATTTAAGATCATTTGCAGCAGAAAAAGATCCAGATTTAGGATAATAAACACAAACGGAGCGTGAAAGTACGTTTTTTTTTTTTTTACCCACCAAACTTGCTTCACCAAAAGGAACGTCAGTGTCACACTGAGTAAAATTTCATTTTGTAGCTTTTCTGTCAGATTTTGCCTCCTTTTCTTCATGCAGTCAGGATGTATTAATATTAATGAGGGGCGTTTCACTGACCATTTGGTAACTATGGGCGTTTGAAGGGTCGGACATGGAACTCCCTCAGATGTGCCACATTTCAACTTGATTGTGATTTATTAAGGGAACTAAGGGAAGGTTTTCTAAGTCTGAATATTTTTGGGTGTTTGACATTTTTGGCTTTTTACAAAACGTTATGGTATCCTTAATTTTCCAACAGGCATTTGTAAACTGACCATCATAGATGTAATAGTGGCAACTTACTATCCTCGGAGACACCGTAGAGTAGAGCCCGACCGATATGGTATTTTTAAGTCCGATACCGATATATTTTGAGGATTTTTAAATCTGATATGCTGATAAATCAGCCGATATTCTTTTCCCCCTTATTTTAAGAAACACATAACATAAACAAAGATTATGCCTAACATTTGTTATGTTGAGACCTCACCAAGATACCATGACATAATGCAGTTTAAAAATAAACTTTGTTATCGTTAGAAATAGCACTTTGAACAAAAGTACAACAAAATATATTAGTTTTGATAAATAAGAGTCAAACATATAAAACTACAGAAAACATTTTAAAAATATCTGATTTATTATAAATTATTACTAGTACTACTACTAGAACATTAAATTAAATAGTGTATGTGTTGACAGAAACTATAAAAAATACCAATATAGTACTATTTCTAAAACTAATATCATATATCATCTCTCATGTCATTGCTATCGTAATAATGATAAACGGGGCTCTCCTACATAAGCAAATAATTGTGTACATATTATAAATGTACTCTATCGGCTATTAGAAAAGCCGATGCAGATATATTGATAACAATAAATTGCTCGGGCTCTACTATAGAGTGATGTGTACTGGACCACATTTTGAAGGAAAGAAAAAATCTTAAGTTAGGCTCAGTTTCTGTATACGGTTTACCTATTTTTGTTCCTCTGGTCTATAGATATTTGTCTAAATTTAAGGACAAAATCTGCTTCTTAAGCAAACATCCAGTTTTCATAAAAGATAGCAGTGGTTCCAAACCTTTTTGGCTTGTGACCCCTTAAAGCAAAGCAGTGTCTACTTGCAAACTGTCATCAGAGGTTACGACGTTAGGCTTGATAGTTCAACTGAAGAGTGTTTTTTCTGTCTCATATTGTTTCATTTGATGGGCCTGAAGAGGGTAGAGTTTTTAATATATAGCAAAAAGAGAAATTTCAGTAAAAAGAAAAATGTCCTTTGTGTAACATGGGGAAGATTTCTGCACAGACTATTCCCTTTGGACTTTGTCAAACCTTGCCTGTGCCTGATTTAATGCACTAAAGGGACATGATTTTTTTTTCTTTCAGGCGTCCAGGGCTGACCATTCACCCCCCTCCAGCCACTGTCAGTATTCAGAGGTCTCAGACATCCCGTGACACCGCCACACGGATCACGCTGCCGTCTCACCCTGCAATTGGGGCTCAAAAGCCTCAGCCTCCGCACACCATGACACAGGTCACTGCCTCTTGATGGCTGCCTACAAAAATAATGAATAGTCATTTTATACAGTGACTGAAATATTTGCTCTTATTTTTTGTTCCCCACAGAAGCCCATCTTCAGTCCTGTCACACCAGTAGCTGCAGCAACTGTGGCACCAATTGTTGCCACTAACACTGTTCCATCCACCACCACAATGGGTATTGGCTTTTTGTTTATTCCACAAGCTAGTCACACCACTTGAAGAAAAAACTAAACTGCAAATTGAGCAGGTATTCTCACACAAATATTGATCACCTTGTTGTCTTCATGTCAAGGCACTGTGCCACATACCCAGATGACCAGTAACACTATTGTCACCATGACGATGGCCTCACACTCCTCTCATGCTACAGCAGTGACCACGTCCGCCATCCCTGTTGGTAAGTTAGCCATTTTGTCTCTTTGGTAAGAACACTGCTGTGTGCTACATAAGCACGGGGTGTTAATTGTGATGGCAATTCAAGTGTTCAGATAAACAGCTCAGGCAAACACTTTTGAATTTTATTCAAGTCTTCTGCAGAAGGACTCACAGCAACACACTGCTTTATACACGTATGCTCGGATGAGTGAGGAGAGCTCCGTGAGCCTGTTATTTATCCAGCTTTAGGGTCAATCATATCATCCCACAGAGACACGTTTTGTCCCTGAAGTCTGGATAACACAGAGAACAGAGATATTTTGACTGTTACGTTTACACAGATTCAGTACCACAACACAGATGAGTCTCCCTAAGTCCAGCGTTACATGCAATAAGTTTGGAATTCCCATTACATAATCTAAATCAATTCGGTGTGTTTCAGTAAGTCTTTCTCTTAACCATTCCCTGGTGTTGTTCACAGCAAAGGTGGTCCCTCAGCCCATTGCCCACTCTTCATCCCGCGTGCAGGCTGACTATCCTGGAGAGAGAGCCAACCTCATCCCGATCCCAGGCCATCGGTCATCTCCTAACCCCATCACCGTGGAAGCAAGAAGTGACAACAGGTGAGCGCACAATTTACACGGTTCTTCCATGTTTTAGTGATAAGGTGACAGAGACATCTGAGGGGAATCTGTATTCTCAACTGATATGTCTACAGTAGCTATCTACTTCTGTGTCTTTTACCTACCACAAACACTAGAGAGTTATATTCCTGCAAAGAGCTCTGTCGTACTGCCTGCTTGCTCTCAGTTTATATTTGCTCATCTACACAAATAAGGTCGCTTTGGGCAAACCGAAACAGTCAAGTTGTATACATTAGGGTTGGGCGATGTCTACAAAATTTCCATCGGACAATGTCACGATGTCAATGACAATCACGATGCCGGCTCAAAATCATGATGTCTGTCTGCTATGGACGATGGCACCGTCTATCGGCCCAACCCTAATATACATAGCTTTGTGCTGACCGATAACTCGTATTTTCATTGTCACCGCGATATGAAAATTGCGATAAACACATCGCAAAAGACCGCTTGAAACGCGCCGAATAAGAATACTCAGGATGGGCACTGAAACATGATAGGAAATGAGTCCCAGGGCTGAAGACTATTTATTAAACGTTTACAATGTTCACTATTTTAGTTTAGCATTTAAAATATTGACCTGATGATGGCAGTGGATGAGAAGTCGGGGAATCACCAAAATATTTGTAATTCATCTTGAGAAAATGTGATGGCAGTCCATCTAGTAGTTAGTGAGTTATTTCAGTCTGACTCTGGACCAACATGATCAACCAACCGACCCTCATGCCGCCAGTGTGGCTAAAACTAGGGAAAGACCTATTGATGATAAAAGGATAAAACTGTCCTCCTGGATAGAATATATTGTTTTACCAGCCGATATTAATATGTTTATGGAAGCGGATTTCAACCTCCTCATTGTGGAAAATAATAGAGAGGTTGTTTTGTAATTATAACTTCTGTATAAATGTATAGATATGGAGAATTTATAAAACGATTATGAAATGATTAGAGCCATATCATGTGATAAGTAGGAAATTATCTTATGTACTGATACATTTATTCAGATAACGATTGTTTAATCTTGTATATTTTCTTTTGAAGGTCTTCTGTGCCTGTGCAGTTCCAGTATTTCCTGCCGGCGTACTCCTCGTCATACCCTCTGACACACACCTACACCCCCATCAGCAGCTCTGTTTCTGCCATCCGCCAGTATCCTGGTAAGCACCACTTACCAGTGTTGTTTTACTGGCAGCCACAGCTAACTACTGTAGTGACTGGTGAAAAGTGCAACATACCCTTTTTTTATTTGACTAAAAAATAAAAGTTTGAGCTGTGAGGTGTTGACAGATATAGTGAATTTGATTAAACATGACAGCATTAAGATCTCATTTTAACTTTATTTTCCGCCTCAATAAGTTACTCCTCAAGCTCCGAGTTCAGCACTGCCCACCCAAGCAGGAGTAGGCGTGGCAACCACTGTCCATCTAAACCACATGCAGCTGATGGCAGTCGATCGGATTGGCCTCCCATCTGCACAAATCAGCACCCAGGGGATCCAGCCCGCGCCAATCGCCGCACAGGGCATTCAGCCTGCACCGATAGGCGTGCAGGGCCTGCATACGTCTGCACCAATCACCACACAAGGACTACAGCAGGCACCAATAGTCACTCAGCAGCAGCAGCAAGCGCAGTCTGAAGCAAAACCCGGTAATTACCTACCTCAGTAAAAACAACACGGTGTTTGCGTGCCTCACTGAGTTGTGTGGGCTCTTTGTAACATGTGTTTATTTCATTCAGGGGTTGTTCTGGCTGATGGCTTTGTAGCTAGCCCAATCAGCAGCACATTCAGCACCACCCAGCCAGTAGCCACAATGGTGCAGGCACATCCCCAGGGAGGAGTAGGAGGGACTCCTACCCTGGTCTCCTCCCCTAGACCCAGCATCCTCCGAAAGAAGCCTGCTAATGAAGGGTGAGTACATTACCAGCACGTGAGACAGTGAACCTTGTGCAAGAATATTTTTGTATTTGTCTCCTAAACCTCTCTCACATCTTTCTGTATGGTTTGCTTGTACGAGTGCTCCAAGTCAGATTCACCAAACTTTCTTTTAACAGCACGAATGTGTCTTAAATAGCTTGTTTCAGCCTGATTTAATACCACCAGTAGATGCATGTCTGTGAGATTCGATCATTAGCGTAATCACAATAAAGAAGGATTGTTTGATGAGAAAGTCTTTCTAAAGCTGACCTAGATGTGAGGAGATCAAAGTCATGGAGATAGAGAATATAATACAGTAATTGATGTCTCAGTAAATTTACAAGCTATCGTATTTTACTTGTATGCTCAATCTAACAACAAATCTGTGTATACTTGCTTGAGGTCAGTTGGCTTTTTATGGACTATAGACTACTGTAATGCACAAAATGAATGTAAAAAAACAAATGACATTTCTAGAGAGTATCTCCTGCTTATTTTCTGAATCATTACATGTTGTGGTAACCTAATTTTTAAACCATTGCTCAGCCCTAAAATTACACCTAGTCTGGAAACTGGGTTTTCGACTGCTCTGTACAGTAATGCATCACCTGACTAGCTAAATATTTAATTTTTTATTTTTCGTTTTTGTGTTTCAGCTGTGTTCGTAAGAACCTGATCCCCGCCCAGCCCAGTGAACCCAGTAGTGGCAGAATTGAGAGTGCCATGAGAGGAGCAGGATCTCCCCGACCTGCGGGGTGAGCCTATAATCACTCATCACATCACTTGCATCCATGTTCATGTCCTGTTACGATATGAGTCTGTAACCTGACACTTGGGATTCCTCCCTCAGCGTGAAACCCAAAGCTGAGATGCACATGGCGGTGGCGCCTCCTGTCATGGCTACAGTAGAAGCACTGCCTTCTCAGGGAGGAGAGCAGCAGGCCATGTCCTCAAACGCCCAGCACCTTGCCCAAGCAATCCCCACCATGCTCGCCACGCCGGGGCCTGTACCTCCCTCCCAGGCCTCCACTGTCCTCTCCGCCCTGCCTGCATCCATGGCTGTAACTCCCCCTGTTCCAGCTTCAATGGCCAACACCGTGGCCTCCCCCACTCAGCCAGCAGCCAGTAGCACTGCAGCCTGTGCTGCCAGCTCTGCCTGCCCAGATTTGAAAATTAAGCAGGAGGTGGAGACCATGGACACCTCCCAGCCAGGTGAGGAGCCTGTCAGTCACCAGTGACATTTATTAATGTGAAATTATAGGAAAGTGATATAAGGAAGCTGGAATATACAGGTAAGTTAACACTGTTTTTATCTCTTCCCCTGAGATCCAAATGTGAACTTGTCTTCAGGCCCAGCCCTCACCACTCAGACCTCCACCCTGAACACTCCTGCCACAGGAGATCTGATCCCTGGGGCCTCCCCGAGGAAGAAGCCCCGCAAGCAGCAGCATGTTATTTCTACAGAGGAGAGCGAGATGGTCGAGACCAACAGCACGGATGAGGAGAAGGCCCCGGGCAGGCCCATCACCGGCAGGGCTGAGAGGCGCGAATCTCCACCAAGGGAATATGTTGGTATGTAATGTAATGCCATTCAGTGTCAGTGGTGATATTGCGTGTTATCAGCACAATCACTTCAACACTGGCTTTTGTCTTCCAGATGAAGAAGGAGTGCGTTATGTACCAGTCAGGCCTCGACCACCTGTTACTCTTCTGCGGCACTACAGGAACCCCTGGAAAGCTGCTTACCACCACTTCCAGAGGTACAGCGACATCCGGGTCAAAGGTCAGTAGCTTCCTGCTCAAAGCCAAAAATACTTTACATACAGCTAACAAGGATGGACAATAGGGGCTTTTTATTTCTTACAACAATCCTTTGCTTTTCTCTCAGAGGAGAAGAAGGGCAGTTTACAGGATATGGCCAACCAGAGGGGAGTGGCATGCAGAGCTCAAGGCTGGAAGATTCACCTGTGTGCTGCACAGTTAAGGCAGCTGGTGAGTGCCGGCCCCCAGACAGCAAAAATATAACTCTGTAGGACTCTTGGACGTTCAGTGATATAAGACAGACAGACAGGTTATATATTATCCCAAATACTTCTGCTTGTCCATGTGTTAGAGAGAAAATCCCCTTGAACTCCTTGCAACATGATAACTATGATAATATAAGACAAATGTTGGTTCAAATTAAAATGTTATAACAACATGACCATATTTACAGACCAAAGCGAGGTGAGCGCAGGCAGCGTTTGGAACTGATGTCTTTCAGCAAAACTGTGCAGAGAGAAAAACATTCTGGTACACTGTCTTTAATTTTTTTTTAGTGGACTTCTGTAAACACAGTGTTTATGTTACTTGATCTACAGTCAAGTTTGGAGCATGATGTGTACAGCCGCCTCTCCACCCTTCAAGAGGGCCTGATTCCTAAGAAGAGAGCAGGAGCTGATGATGACCTTCACCGAATCAACGAGCTTATACAGGTAAGGTTGTTACGGCATTTCTCACTGTTTGACTACATCTTCAGAGTGAGTGGATATATAATATTGTGAGATAAGCAGCCCTTCCTGATGCCAAAACTGCAGAAACATCGCAACTGAACCGTGAAGGAGCATGATGTTGGCTTAATTTTACAACTGACAAAAATGTCAGTTATTTGGTGAAACTCATCTGCATTAATAAGGCTTATGAGGGCTGCTCCCAAGTCATCGGCTTTACCAACAAGTCATTTGTGTGTTTGTCCACAGGGTAACATGCAGCGCTGTAAGCTGGTGATGGACCAGGTGACAGAGGCCAGAGACACCATGATGAAAGTGCTCGACCACAAGGAGAAAGTGCTGAAGCTGCTCAACAAGAACGGCGGCGTCAAGAAATCCTCCAAACTGAAGCGTAAAGAACGGGCATGAGCGGGGCGGCGGTGGTGGTGGGGAGCTATTCACTCTGTCGACAACTGCCACCGTCTCCTCTAAAGGGGTGAAGGAACTGCTCAAAAGTTGGTGCTATGATTTGCTGCATACAATCGCACGCACCCTCCCTATCTGCCTGAGAGCGGACAGAGAAGTGACAGAAGGGCAGAAATCAGGAATAGGAGCATTGTAGTTTGCATTAGAGCCCCCACCACCACCACCACTTGTTCATTTTTGAAGAGACCATTTGTACTAACTTAATTTCTCCCACTTCTTTTAAGACCATGTTTGACCTGGCGCATTGTGTATCTTTGATATTTGGCACTAAATGCAGGTGCAGTGAATACATGTAAGTATTTCAGTTAAGGAGAGTTACTGAAAAAATCATTTAAAAAGAGTCCTTTTAGTAAGCGGTGCGTATACAGACTAATCTCAGTCGTGCTCTTTTCATGAATCTGTGCCTTCATTTTGTCGGTGTACATGAAATGGACGGACGTGTGAAAGCTCTTCATCATTCAAAGGAAAGCGTCAATTTCACTGCTTCCCCTTTTACTCCGAACATCCTGCACCTGGAATTTTTTTTTAGTTCACATTTGTTCATCTAGTATGGGTAAACAGTTGCCTATCAGCCACAAGTTTAGGTGTCATCTAAAAGATAAAGGAATACTTACATGGGTTGAGGTAAAAAAAAAAAAAAAAGTGAGAGAAGGAACCTAAATGTGCCACATTTAATTGATTTAATATACAAAAAAGCTCTTAAAGGATTAATAGTGTCATTAGATGGTTATCTGGAAGTGAGGGTTTAGTGCATATGTGTAATGCCAAGTTAACTTTACATTTAAAACTGCTATGAATCATCTACTTAATCCAAAGTAAATGGATGTCCTGGTAGTAAAAAAACAATATTTTCATTTGGTTTCAGACAGTAGATTGCTTGAAAGAAAGAGAGCGAGTATGCTCGTGTGACTGGTGGACTGAATTGATGTAAATCACTGTAAATGTGCTTTAGGTTTTCCATTGACCTGGTTCTTTTCAAGTTTTGTACTCGATACTTTTTTTGCTGTGTGATGTGTGCCGCTTCATTTTAGAGAGTGTACACTATGAGATGAAGTGAGCCTGAAACATCCAGCTACTGTACATTGCTTTCTGTCTGTGTTATTATAGTAAAGATACTTAAACAATACCAGATACACCGTTTGTAGTGTACTTTTTTTCAATTTGGTTTCTCATTCTGATGTCCATTTTTAACTTTGCATATTGTGTGTATATAGTTAAAAAAATGAAAGCAGTCTGGAAGCAAACTGGTTAAACAGACCACACCCGAGGACAGCTGGTAAGAGTGCAAGATTATTGATTTATAGTATTCTCATGGATCCTCATCAGTCTTTGCGTGTGATTATATTTACCTGTCATTACATATGAGGAACCTACAGTTTAACCCAACAGATGATACCTGCTGTGCAACCCTGTTTTTATCCTCAGATATAGATTCATTTGACAGTATGTTAACCAGGTCTACACTCCACTGCTGGAAGTCTGTATCTTCATGGCTCCGTCTGACCTGTTGATATTGTCACAGATTGTATGGATGGTATGAGCTGTTTTATCCAGCAAGATCACATTCTCCCATCCCCAGAGTGAGCCCAGTCATGCCTCTTCACTATCTGCTTTTTACAACATAATTGCCTTGAAGTACAGCACAACACGTTGGCTGTACTTGACCTGGGGACGACTGATTAGGGATCATTGAGTTACTGGAATTGGGGTAGTCAACTTCCCCCTTTTAGCAGGATTTCTGACACCAGCTGACCTATCTGTTGCCAAAGAACGCTGTTTTTGTCTGTCAATTCAAGAAGCAAATTAACAAAGAAATAAATTTTACTCTTTTCCGTATTTTATGAAAAAAGCTTACTCAAAATGTTGTTTGCCATATAATTAATAAAATGTGTTTATATAGTTTACAGTAGATAACAGTACTACTATAACCTCTCTTCTTGTCAACCATTATGAAGCCAATCACGAATTTTCAATAGTCAGACTTCTGTTCATTTAAAGGGAAACGGTTCGTGTTTAATCACGTAAATTAACGTCAGATGTTTAACAGCAATTTGAAACTGATGCTTTCTTATGATATCAAGTGTATGCCTGGAGTCTGGTGGTTGGTGACGCTGGCCTTACTTCTGCAGGAGCAAAGTCAAGGGCCATAAAGGGGTGATGGTGGGGAAACGCCCTACTTCCTGCTTCATAGTCAGTCAAGGAAAAGTTCCCTCAGCAGCAGCAGGGGCTTCCACCAAAGAAACAAGTATTCTCAGGTGAGAGTGTCTTCAAATCTGTGATCTTACTCAGTTTCTTATTTTTTACAAAGAGGTGAATTATGTTTTGTGTATTTTTTATGACTAGTCCATTGTGATCTTACATTGAGTTTTGTCATAAAATCAGTGATGTCATGCTATGATTTTTTAAATGAAGTGTCCAGTCAAAATGAAAAATCAGTTCAAGTAAGAAAATATTGCGTTACTATTTTAAGTTGTTTTTTTTATTGCCTCACAAGATCGGCTTCTGTAACATTTAAATATTTACCTTTCAAGATGGGTTTATATCTTATCTACTGTGTGTTGCTATAATAACATAAATATTAAGGTGGTGTGGCCCACACTACTGACACTAATATTGGTTTGCGAGCAGGTATTTGTTAATTAGAATTACTGTAACTGGGCAGAATCTGAATTAAGATGATATTTCTTTTCATTTTCTTTACAGGCTTGATCCACGTTTCTGCTATGCTGCACTTGAGTAAGGTAAGAATGAGTATTTCTGTAATATGTACACATAATTCTAAAATTCGTGATGCACAGATATCTCAAGAAGGCATTTTCAGCATGACTTTTTTTTTAATCACAACTTCTTGCTTCCCCAACTAGGGGGATTTTGTATGGGTGGACTCCGGTGTCGCGGTGCCGATTGGGGCGGAGGTCAAGGTGACAGACACCGGACAGCTTCAGCTGATCGATGACGAAGGAAAGGTACAAAACCCCACAGAAGTTTCAGGTCCAGGAAAATTGAGTGTAGGCCTTCTATATAATGTCAACTCTTTCACAACATACATACAGGAGCACAAGATCAACAAGAAGACAGAGGGCACCATCCGGCCCATGCACCCCACGTCTGTGAAGGGTGTGGATGACATGATAAGGCTCGGTGATCTCAATGAGGCTGGGCTCCTCAGGAACCTCCTGGTGCGACACAAAGAAGGCATCATCTATGTAGGTTTCTATTCCCATTCTTTCACTCTGAACCACTTAGTTTTATGATGTCCATAACCTGCTGTGGAAATGATTTCTTTTACACCGTGTCCTCCCTTGCTGTGAATGGCTTTCTATCTTAGACTTTGCCCTGGAGTTTATCACTGTGCTGTTTGTCTCCATAGAGACAAATGAGCCTCTGTTGAAAGAGAACATCCCAGTATTTCTATGTCACTGCATCAAAGCTCAGCAGTGTGTGTTCAATTATGAATCAGGCCATTTTGTTGTTTAAAAATACTACTGCTAAACACTGGGGGCAAAATTGACTAAGGATAATATTCCCTTTTCTAGGACTTGCTATTCATATTATAAACCGCAACCTTTCATGATTATAATCCATCCATGACATTTTTAAATCCAATGAATCATATTTACGACATGCATGTCACACATTGCAGCCGTGACCAAACAGGGAGTCACAGGGGTCACTGGGGTCACTGGGGTCACTGGTTTGACAATGTGCTTACACCAAAATAACTTGTTAAAGCTCATGTACACACACACACACACTCACTCACTCACATACACAGTAAGCTAACATCCCTCTCTGTTTTAAGACATACACAGGCTCCATTCTGGTTGCAGTCAACCCATACCAGCTGCTGCCCATCTACACCACTGAGCAAGTGCACATGTACACAGACAGACGGCTGGGTGAACTGCCACCGCACGTATTTGCCATCGCAGACAGCTGCTTCTTCAACATGCGCCGCAACCAAAAGAACCAATGCTGTGTCATCAGGTCTGCTTTTGTCTAATTACAGGAGACTGAGGCTGACTCCAGATTTGTTATGTAGACTGTGTCAAATAACTGATTGATTGATTGATTGAAACCCTTATTTATACAGGGGGAGCTCACTGAGATTGCCCTTTACAGTAATATACAAGTAATGAGTCTTTTTAGTGGCAGAAATTCTTTCGTTACAGCTTTAAAAGATATATATAGAGTATGCTGGTTTTCTCAGTCTTCTTTGTTAGTAAACTGAATACCTTTGTGTTTTAGACAGAACAAGACTTATGAAAATATAAACTTGGGTTTAGGGAAACTGTGATGGGCTTTTCTAAAAAACATTTTCCAAAATTCTATAAATCAAACAATTGATTGATTTTTAGAGAAAACAATTAACAGGTTAATCAAAAAGCTACAACACACACCAAGGGCAAAAATATAAATTGAAACATTCAAATTAAGGTTAAAATATGAAGAAACGCAGCACTATAAGAGACAAACAAATTATATCAAGGACAAAATGATCTATCAACACATCTATTAAATTAATGCTCAGTTGTGTCTACATATACAATAGTGTCATCTGCATACATATGGAACCTAGGTTATTATTATAAATAGTAAAAAGAGCAGGACCTAAACTGATCCTTGTGGAACACCTTTGTTAATGTTGGGTTTGTGTTGCATCTCATAAGCCTCAACATATGTTATGTAAGTAATTTCTTAACCAGCGATAGTGTTGTCAAAAACAAAATTAGTAAGGCTCTTCAATAACATATCAAAGGCCTAAGACAGGCCTATAAACAGAGCAGCAATGTTGATTGTTGATTTGCCTAGGTCTGAAACCAGATTGCAAGTGATTTAAAGCAGAGGTTTAGGTGAGAAACACAATAATCTTTGTAAGGCAGGAAATAGTTTAGATAATAAATTATAAAGCAATTTTTTTTCATGCAACACAAAGGATATTATTAAATGCATTCTACAAGCTTTCTTCTTTGTTTTCCCCATCAGTGGAGAGTCAGGAGCAGGGAAAACTGAGAGCACCAAGCTCATGCTGCAGTTCTTGGCTGCAGTGAGTGGCCAGCACTCCTGGATCGAGCAGCAGATTCTTGAAGCGAACCCTATCTTGGAGGGTATGAGCAAAACACCTACATAAACTATCAGCTGAATCCCCCTTTTCACTTCCACTTTGATAAAACATACGTTTTCTTCTCAGCCTTTGGTAATGCCAAAACCATTCGAAATGATAACTCCAGTCGTTTTGGGAAGTACATTGATGTCAACTTCACCAAGGGTGGGGCCATTGAAGGGGCCCGCATTGAGCAGTACCTGCTGGAGAAGTCCAGAGTCTGTCGTCAGGTGGGAAGATAGGTTTGCTAAATATTTTATATAATAAGAGTAGTGACATGGTACAAGTCAAATTTTCTTGTGGTAAAGAACACGTGCTTTTAATGGCAGGCGCCCGAGGAAAGAAACTACCACATCTTTTACTACATGCTGATGGGCATGCCAGCTGACCAGAAAAAGATTCTTTCCCTTGGGAACGCTGCTGAGTACAACTATCTGACCATGGTACTGAAACTATTCAGCAACTGTGACATTTGAAAAACCTTTCTTTACTGATGGATTTAGAAGAGAAATTCATATATTGTGAATCACAGATAACCAGATAAGAATTCATATTTAGCTTTAAACCATGTGATCGTATCACCAGGGTAACTGCACCAGCTGTGAAGGACGTGATGATGTGAAGGAATACGCCCACTTCCGTTCAGCTCTGAAGATCCTCATGTTCTCAGATAATGACTCCTGGGAAATCTTAAAACTGCTCGCTGCGATCCTTCACCTGGGCAACGTGGTCTTTAATGGTGAGGACAGCACCACACAATGGAATACATGGATTGTAGATATTGTTCTCATATAGATAAAATAATTGTTTTTAATCTTTTGAGCCACTGAACATGTTTTTCTTGCATATTTTCAGGCACCATAGTAAATAACATGGAGGCCTGTGACATCCATGCATCATCCCATTTCAACACGGCCAGCCAACTTTTGGAGGTATATGAAGTTTTTTCTTTTTTTTACAAATTCATAATAAAAGGAGCTGAAAGATCGTGTCTGACTGTGTTTGTCCCATTCCCTCAGGTGGCTCC